CCTCATCATCGTCCTATTCCTGCTCTTCTTCCACGTCCTGCCCCCCACCTCCTCCTCTCCTATTCCTCCTCCTCCTGCCCTTCAGTCTCTTCCTTCTCTTCCGCATCCTCTTCCTCATCCTCTTCCTCGTCCCCTCGCCCTCTTCCTTCCTCCCTCCTCCATTATCCTCCCTATCCATATCTCGCCTGTCTTTCTCCTCCCTTTCTCCTGTCGCTCTTCTTCCTTCCTCCTCTTCCTTACTCCTCCTCCTCTTCCTCTCTCCTCCTCCTTCTCCCTCCTTCTCCTACTTCTCCTCCTCCTCCTCCTCCTCCTTCTTCCTCTCTTCTCCTCCTCCCTTCTTCCTGCTTCCTCCTCCTTCTTCCTGTCTTCTCCTCCTCCTCCTCCCTTCCTCCTCTTCCCTCCTCCTCCTCCTCCTCCTTCCTTCTCCCTCCTCACTCGTCGCTCTGTCCTCCCCCCCCTTCCTTCCTTCTTCCCTCCTGCCTCCTTGTTCCCTTCCTTCTCCCCCGTGCCCCTCCACTCCCTTTCTCTCTCCCTGCTTCCTCCTCTCTCTGTTCCCTCCTTTTCCCTCCTCACTCCTTCTCCTCCTCCTCCTTAGTCCTCTCCTCTCCTCTTTCCTCACTTCTCTTCCTTCCTCTCTTCCTTTTTCTCCTCCTTTGTCCTCCCCCTCCCTTCTCCCATACTTCCTCCGTAGGCATGTTGGCTCAAATCCGTAGCGGTTCGCTCGAGGCTTGACATTGTGGCAGGAGGGGTTCGACGGCCCTCACCGCTCTCGCATCTCCCCAGTGCCTGCCCAGGCTGGAGGTGCCGCTTTCACAGCTTTCACAGTTTTGCTTTGGGAACGTACTCCCAACTTCGACACCTCGACGCTTTCAGTTGGCCCATGGCAAATGGTGGACGCCCGCCATAGTTTGTTGCTGGGGCAGCTGCTCGCAAGGCCTGGGCCACGTCCTGGCTTTGTCGATGGTGTGTGTGCACCCTTGGTCGGGGGATAAGTGGTGGAATAGAGGCGACCTCACGGAATGCTCCAGCTGTCACTGCAACAAGGGCGCCGCATTTGGTGGCCCAAAGCCGCTCCAGGCACCCCCGAGTGCCAGGGCCCCAGCCATGGAGTGGGAGCGGCAGCGACAGAAAGAAGCCCTTGCCAATGCGGCCATCGAGAAGGACAGGCAGCTCAAGGCCAAGGACCTGGGGATCGCCAAGCTCCGTGAGCAGGTCATGGCCGCGAAGGTCCCCGCCTCAAGCACCCAGCCTCAGGCCCCCGACAAGTCGGACGCCAATCAGAAGCGGCTGGCCGGGATCACCACGATCCTGCGACCCCTGGGGAGCCTCACGGAGCCATCAGTTGTTGCAGCGCGAGAAGGGCTCGAAGCTGAACGTGCTGCAATCAAGTCACGTGCCGTTGGGGGCAAGCCTCATTCGGCCCAGATGCACCACTTCACCACGCGCATTGACGAACTGGCAAATAGCAGACTCCAGCTGGAGAAAGCCCTCGCTACCTTGGATGCGCAGAAGGTCGAGCTGGAGGCCAAGATCGAGAGTGTCCAGAAATCCATCAGGGGCCTCACCACGGACATCGCCGAGCTCGAGCACCAGAGTTTCCAGGTCTCAGCAAAATTGCCGACGCCGCTTCCAGAATCATACGCGCTCAAGACCATGGTGCCAGCGCTCGATCTGCCAGTCGACAAATTGGGTAAGCTATTCGAATATGCAGGTGCTGGCGAGAATTTGCTCAGTCAGGCCACGGCGTGTTTCGAGGCACTCCGAGAACTACAGGCGCGTGCAGAAGCCAAAGCATCACCAGGAGCAGATCAACACAGAGACGAAGCTGACGCAAAGACATCGCAGCCAGCTGGCCCTGCACAGGGCAGCGCGGGGGGCACGCCCCCCCCCCCCCCCCCCCCCCCCGCAGCCCATGGGCCGATGGGTACTGATAATATTGAAGACCTGCGAATGTTTTATCACACCTGCACTGGAGATGAGCCCCCTGACGACGGCGACACGGTCCGATAGACTTGCAATCTATATGCTGAAGCTGCAGAGGCCTTGGCTAAGCGACGCAGAGCCGACCAGGACACCGCGTGATATTATCAGCACCATGTAGCTCGCCGTGGTGATAATATTTCTCATCCACATTCTTTGCCCGATGGAGCTAACGAAAAATACGTCGGGAACGCGATGCACATGACGCCTGTGGCGAACGACGTGTGCAATGTCGGCGAAACCAGTGGCCCCGCCTCTCTTCGATGGGCGCCAGGCATTTCGGCAAGACAGTGAACATGTACGCCACTGGATACCCAGACAATGAGCAGTCTAACGTCAGATGCAGGCCAAATGCCAGATCAAGTACCGAGGATGGTCTGGGGCGCCCTGTTCCCAGGCCCCGAGAGGCCAATTGGGGCCCTGGCGTTGGGGATTCGAGGTGTTGCAGCACCTCTGGTGCCGAGGCCATGTGTAACAAAATACAGCTGGACAGTGAGCCTCATGGGGCTCCAGGGCCCCCGAGGCCCCACAGGCAGACGAGCGCGATCCTCGACGACGCGGCCACCATCGATGCGCCAGCTCCGAGATCTGTCAGGGGCCCATCTGCAGGCATTTGCAGCTCGTCATGGTTGCGGTCTGCACCGTGAGTGTCCGTCCAGCAAGCGCAGCAGCCACTACGATGCCGCCAACCTCATATAGTGAGCAGGTGACGCCAGGGATGCCAGAACCAATGAATGGCAACTCGGTGAACCCAGTCGTGGCGGCCATTGTAAGTTCTCATGGGCCGCTCATCGACGTGCTGAAGTTGCCATGGGCACAGTCATGTGTAATATGCATCCGAGAGCACCATTTCGATCAAGATCGACTTGCTGGTGTGCGGCATCAAGCCGTTCGAGCAGGGGCCCCAGGACGATGAGCTCATGCACCCCGGTCAGCTAATGGAGGCACGCAGGGTGGCCTAGCGATTATAGCGCCACCTCGGGCACGAATTACCCTGGGCCCAGGAAGAACGACGGCAGGCATAGTACCTGGACGAGGCTGGCAGCCCATGTACATTGGGGGCGTCAAGCTTGGAAGCACCATGATCTCCATCTACCTACGTGGCAGTCAGGGGCTCTCGGAGTCCAACGTGGCGATCCCCAGGCAAGTGGCGGCTTACGTATGCGAGCGAGAAGCAAGAGGGCAACCATGGCTCATTGCTGGGGACTGGAACGTGCGAGTTGACGACCTACGCCATTGGTTCAACCCCATCGGAGACATAGCTGTCCATCCGAACTGCCCCACCTGCTTGCATTCCAAGCCTGGAAGCATGCTGGGCTACATGTGTTTACACACCAAAGTAGCATGTCGAGCAGGGCGACCAGTCGCGCACGAGGACTCTGACCTGTTCCCCCGCCTACCAGTACGATTACCACTACATGAAGCTGGGTATGTCATGTGGATGCGTGCGCCCGTGCAGCCTGCAGCAGTTGACACTATCCCGAAGCCAGGGTGCGCGAGATACCTGCCTGTGATAGAATGGGGCAATGCGCGGCAACTCGCTGAGGCAGCTACGGGTGCCACCTCTGTAGCGCCAGCCTTGGATGCAGTACTATCGCAGATTGAAGAAGAGTTGTTGGACAGACATGATGCCATGGGTGCCGCGCGAGATCGATATCGCGACAGGGCTGGAACTACGACCTGGACCTGGAAGCAAGTCAGGCCACCCGAGCCACGGCCGCCGCAGAGACTCCAGGCGTATAAGTTGTATGGTAGATGGTTCAGGCATATGGGATCTACCAAACTTCGAATGATGGCTTGCGTGGAAAGGCTGCAATATGATGTCAACGTCCCTGGAAGGTTCCCTAGACAGATGCTGCCCACGAGCGCTGCGACAGACAATTACTCAAGGTGGGCGCGACCACTATCTACCTGCGGATCGTACGCCGACGACAGCACCACTATATACGAGTGTCAAGACCCGGGCGACAAGGAGTTCAATCTGTTCGCTAAGTTTGCATGGGGCCTCCAGGGAATTATCCGCAGAGTATCGAACGCGCATTGGATTGTTGAGCATCTCGGCATGGAGGATCGCACTCGCGTTTTGACCTGCATCCTGGGTTTTGCCAGCATCGCCTTCTTGACACTGCGCAGAGTCTCCTGGGACATGTTGAGAGAGTTGTGCAAGCCATGTGCGGAATGGGGCCAATCATCTTTTAACGGCGGTGCAAGACAGGCTCACCGTTTTTCAAAAGTTCGGGGATTGCAAGAGGTGCTTGAGTATACCCAGCAGCCGCAGCCGTTTAAGCTAGCAGCCAGTTGCATGGACACCTGGGCGGAGATATTGGCCACCCAAGGTGGCGCATGCCTCCAGCTGCCTGGGCTACAAGTGGATGGTCTAAGACGTGTGCTACGCAAGTTCAAGATTAACTCGGCGCTGGGACACATCAACATCCACCCTAAGGCAATGGGCGTAGTATCCGATTATGGACTACAGACTCTGATCATGCTACCGCAAGCGCGTGAGCGGCCATGCTGCTGGCCTGACCACAGACCACAGACGCGGATGGTCAGAAGACCGAAAGCATCAGGAGGACACCGATTGGATGCACTGGTTCCTGCGATTATAGGGGCCTGGGCAAGGTTACGAAGCCCGATTTCACGGCAATGGGAGATTGATAATACGGGCCCAGATTTCTGGGGAGCTCGGCCAGGGACCTCATCATCCGACTCAGTTTTTTTCACGTTAAACTGCAGGCAGAAGTGGCAAAGATGAGTGGACACGCATCCGTCACAGTAGTGATCGATACGTACAAGTGTTCTGAGATGATAAGGTTACATAAGCTTATAGATTTCGCCCACCACCTGCGGTACCCACTACGGTTACTTTGGCTCACCTTGGAAAACTACCAGAGCCCCACAGAGGTTCGAGCATGGGGTCTTTTTATGCTTATGAGTGCGGGCTGCACCCGCGCCGCGACGATGGCGCACCTGCTGCTGCGCCAGCAACTGGGTGACATGCAGAGGATGTTCGAGGCAGT